CCCCCGCTAAATAGGGAGGGTTGTCAAGTATGTCATGTCCTCTTCTAATGTACATCGTCGGGGCCTGTATTAGTACATTGTCGGAACCTATCTCATTCATCTACATCTACAGAATGGCAAATTATGTTTATTATCAAAAAAGAGTGTTGTACCCTGCTACTGAGTTATAATACTAGTTCTTTGCATAAACTAAAAGTTGTTTTTTGGGGGTGGGGGAGGGGTTGTATTGCTCGCTAAAGTTTGCATTGTTATATGTCAGCTTTCATGCATGTGTTCATGTTCTCGAGCTCATGACTAAACAAGGTCAGAATGGTGTGTTATTATATATAACCAAACAATGGTGTTTTTAATAGGGATCAAGAATAACAACTGTATCATCGATGTATGTCAGATACACTAACATCTTCATGGTAGTGATGTTTGTTTTAGATTAACATCTGTGTCACAAAGATGTTTGTTATACAAAAACTAACATCTGTGTCACAAAGATGTTTGTTATACAAAAACTAACATTTGTATCAGAGTGGTGTTTGTTACAGGTACTGGAAAGAATACAATGAATTCAAGCGCCAAGTACAAAGTTTAGAAGACGAGCAACGAAGGTAAAACTGGATGATAAAAATGTAGACAAGTATAAGTTTTGTAGGATGAATTCAGTGGAAATCTGTTAAATACATGTATAAGTTTGAATAAGATTTGTGAGATATAATTATATAGATTGACCTTTGTACTTATTTATTTTTGTTTTAGTGTTGTCACCATGATTGACTCAAGGGTCTGGTCTCGCCCCAGGAAACATATTTTCACTATTTCTTTTGAATAAGAATATTTTGTCATATGATTACTTAAAAAACCAGGTGAATGATAAAGGCTTTGGGCCTATTGATTCATTGTAAACAACTTTACTTTTGTTTCAGTGTAAACGTCATCCATCATATTAGTATTTAATCTTTGGCTAACTTAACATTTGTGTTATTTACTGTTGTTTCAGTGTTGACAACCAGCTGAAATATGCTCAAACACAATTGGATCGGCTCAAGAAAACCAACGTTTTTAATACAACATTCCATATTTGGTAATATTTATATTTTATATAAAATATAATTAATCTCCAAGATTTATAACATAAATAAGCCATGGCTATTTTAAGTATTTATTCATTGGATGTAAACATGCTATAACATCAGTATTAGCGTGTATTCAGTGTGTTGAATCATTTATAGTCATATTATCTAGTCTGTGTATAACTATTGCCTGGCATTGTTTAGTCAGTGTGTAGTCAGTGTTGAAGTATTTTATAGTCATTATCTAGTCTGTGTATAACTATTGCCTGACATTGTTTAGTCAGTGTGTAGTCAGTGTCTAGTTAGTGTACATGTAGTCAGTGTTGAAGTATTTTATAGTCATTATCTAGTCTGTGTATTACTATTGCCTGACATTGTTTAGTCAGTGTGTAGTCAGTGTTGAAGTGTTTTATAGTCATTATCTAGTCTGTGTATAACTATTGCCTGACATTGTTTAGTCAGTGTGTAGTCAGTGTTGAAGTATTTTATAGTCATTATCTAGTCTGTGTATAACTATTGCCTGGCATTGTTTAGTCAGTGTGTAGTCAGTGTTGAAGTATTTTATAGTCATTATCTAGTCTGTGTATAACTATTGCCTGGCATTGTTTAGTCAGTGTGTAGTCAGTGTTGAAGTATTTTATAGTCATTATCTAGTCTGTGTATAACTATTGCCTGGCATTGTTTAGTCAGTGTGTAGTCAGTGTTGAAGTATTTTATAGTCATTATCTAGTCTGTGTATAACTATTGCCTGGCATTGTTTAGTCAGTGTGTAGTCAGTGTTGAAGTATTTTATAGTCATTATCTAGTCTGTGTATAACTATTGCCTGGCATTGTTTAGTCAGTGTGTAGTCAGTGTTGAAGTATTTTATAGTCATTATCTAGTCTGTGTATAACTATTGCCTGGCATTGTTTAGTCAGTGTGTAGTCAGTGTTGAAGTATTTTATAGTCATTATCTAGTCTGTGTATAACTATTGCCTGGCATTGTTTAGTCAGTGTGTAGTCAGTGTTGAAGTATTTTATAGTCATTATCTAGTCTGTGTATAACTATTGCCTGGCATTGTTTAGTCAGTGTGTAGTCAGTGTTGAAGTATTTTATAGTCATTATCTAGTCTGTGTATAACTATTGCCTGGCATTGTTTAGTCAGTGTGTAGTCAGTGTTGAAGTATTTTATAGTCATTATCTAGTCTGTGTATAACTATTGCCTGGCATTGTTTAGTCAGTGTGTAGTCAGTGTTGAAGTATTTTATAGTCATTATCTAGTCTGTGTATAACTATTGCCTGGCATTGTTTAGTCAGTGTGTAGTCAGTGTTGAAGTATTTTATAGTCATTATCTAGTCTGTGTATAACTATTGCCTGGCATTGTTTAGTCAGTGTGTAGTCAGTGTTGAAGTATTTTATAGTCATTATCTAGTCTGTGTATAACTATTGCCTGGCATTGTTTAGTCAGTGTGTAGTCAGTGTTGAAGTATTTTATAGTCATTATCTAGTCTGTGTATAACTATTGCCTGGCATTGTTTAGTCAGTGTGTAGTCAGTGTTGAAGTATTTTATAGTCATTATCTAGTCTGTGTATAACTATTGCCTGGCATTGTTTAGTCAGTGTGTAGTCAGTGTTGAAGTATTTTATAGTCATTATCTAGTCTGTGTATAACTATTGCCTGGCATTGTTTAGTCAGTGTGTAGTCAGTGTTGAAGTATTTTATAGTCATTATCTAGTCTGTGTATAACTATTGCCTGGCATTGTTTAGTCAGTGTGTAGTCAGTGTTGAAGTATTTTATAGTCATTATCTAGTCTGTGTATAACTATTGCCTGGCATTGTTTAGTCAGTGTGTAGTCAGTGTTGAAGTATTTTATAGTCATTATCTAGTCTGTGTATAACTATTGCCTGGCATTGTTTAGTCAGTGTGTAGTCAGTGTTGAAGTATTTTATAGTCATTATCTAGTCTGTGTATAACTATTGCCTGGCATTGTTTAGTCAGTGTGTAGTCAGTGTTGAAGTATTTTATAGTCATTATCTAGTCTGTGTATAACTATTGCCTGGCATTGTTTAGTCAGTGTGTAGTCAGTGTTGAAGTATTTTATAGTCATTATCTAGTCTGTGTATAACTATTGCCTGGCATTGTTTAGTCAGTGTGTAGTCAGTGTTGAAGTATTTTATAGTCATTATCTAGTCTGTGTATAACTATTGCCTGGCATTGTTTAGTCAGTGTGTAGTCAGTGTTGAAGTATTTTATAGTCATTATCTAGTCTGTGTATAACTATTGCCTGGCATTGTTTAGTCAGTGTGTAGTCAGTGTTGAAGTATTTTATAGTCATTATCTAGTCTGTGTATAACTATTGCCTGGCATTGTTTAGTCAGTGTGTAGTCAGTGTTGAAGTGTTTTATAGTCATTATCTAGTCTGTGTATAACTATTGCCTGACATTGTTTAGTCAGTGTGTAGTCAGTGTTGAAGTGTTTTATAGTCATTATCTAGTCTGTGTATAACTATTGCCTGACATTGTTTAGTCAGTGTGAAGTCAGTATATATATACATTGTACATTGTATGTCAGTGTGTAATTAACATGTAGTCCGTTAAATCAATGTTGACATGTGAGATGTCAGCCTGATGTCCTGGTTAAATAAATGTTGACATGTGAGATGTCAGCCTGATGTCCTGGTAAAATCAATGTTGACATGTGAGATGTCAGTTCGATGTCCTGGTAAGATCAATGATGACAAGTGAGATGTCAGTCTGATGTCCTTGTTAAATCAATGTTGACATGTCATATGTCAGCCTGATGTCCTGGTTAAATCAATGATGACAAGTGAGATGTCAGCCTGATGTCCTGGTTAAATCAATGTTGACATGTGAGATTTCAGCCTGATTTCCTGGTTAAATCAATAATGACATGTCATATGTCAGCCTGATGTCCTGGTTAAATCAATGTTGACATGTGAGATTTCAGCCTGATTTCCTGGTTAAATCAATAATGACATGTCATATGTCAGCCTGATGTCCTGGTTAAATCAATGATGACAAGTGAGATGTCAGCCTGATGTCCTGGTTAAATCAATAATGAAATGTGAGATGTCAGTCTGATGTCCTAGTTAAATCAATGTTGAAATGTGAGATTTCACCTGATGTCCTGGTTAAATCAATGTTGACATGTGATATTTCAGTCTGATGTCCTCATTAAATCAATGTTGATATATGAGAAGTTCTGTTTTACAGGCACAGTGGTCACTTTGGGACAATAAACAACTTTAGATTAGGACGACTTCCTAGTGTCCCAGTAAGTATAAAAATGTTGATTTGTCACATATAGAGGACTTCCTAGTGTCACTGTAAGTATACTAATGTTGATTTGTCAGATAAAGAGGACTTTCTAGTGTCCCAGTAAGTATAATAATGTTGATTTGTCAGATAAAGAGGATTTCCTAGTGTCCTAGTAAGTATAATAATGTCGATTTGTCAGACAAAGAGGACTTCCTAGTGTCCCAGTAAGTATAATAATGTTGATTTGTCAGATAAAGAGGATTTCCTAGTGTCCTAGTAAGTATAATAATGTTGATTTGTCAGATAAAGAGAACTTCCTAGTGTCCCAGAAAGTATAATAATGTTGTTTTGTCAGATAAAGAGGACTTTCTAGTGTCCCAATAAGTATAATGAAGTTGATTTGTCAGATAAATAGGACTTCCTAGTGTCACAGTAAGTATAATAATGTTAATTTGTCAGATAAAGAGAACTTCCTAGTGTCCCGGTAAGTATAATAATGTTAATTTGTCAGATAAAGAGGCCTTCCTAGTGTCCCAATAAGTATAATGTTGTTGATTTGTCAGATAAAGACGACTTCCTAGTGTCCCAGGAAGTATAAAAATGTTGATTTGTCAGATAAAGAGGACTTCCTAGTGTCCCAATAAGTATAATGATGTTGATTTGTCAGATAAAGAGGACTTCCTAGTGTCCCAGTAAGTATAATAATGTTGATTTGTCAGATAAAGAGGACTTCCTAGTGTCCCAGTAATTATAATAATGTTGATTTGTCAGACAAAGAGGACTTCCTAGTGTACAAGTCAGTATAGAAATGTTGATTTGTCAGACAAAGAGGACTTCCTAGTGTCCCAGTAAGTATAATAATGTTGATTTGTCAGATAAAGAGGACTTTCTAGTGTCCCAGTAAGTATAAAAATGTTGATTTGTCACTTATAGAGGACTTCCTAGTGTCACCGTAAGTATACTAATGTTGATTTGTCAGATAAAGAGGACTTCCTAGTGTCCCAGTAAGTATAATAATGTTGATTTGTCAGATAAAGAGGACTTTCTAGTGTCCCAGTAAGTATAAAAATGTTGATTTGTCACTTATAGAGGAGTTCCTAGTGTCACCGTAAGTATACTAATGTTGATTTGTCAGATAAAGAGGACTTCCTAGTGTCCCTTTGTCAGACAAAGAGGACTTCCTAGTGTCCAAGTCAGTATAGAAATATTGATTTGTCAGACAAAGAGGACTTCCTAGTGTCCCGGGAAGAATAAAAATGTTGATTTGTCAGACAAAGAGGACTTCCTAGTGTCCAAGTCAGTATAGAAATGTTGATTTGTCAGACAAAGAGGACTTCCTAGTGTCCCAGTCAGTATAAAAATGTTGATTTGTCAGACAAAGAGGACTTCCTAGTGTCCCGTTAAGTATAAAAATGTTGATTTGTCACATGTAGAGGACTTCCTAGTGTCACCGTAAGTATACTAATGTTGATTTGTCAGATAAAGAGGACTTTCTAGTGTCCCAGTAGACTTCCTAGTGTCCCAGTAAGTATAATAATGTGGATTTGTCAGACAAAGAGGACTTCCTAGTGTCCCAGTAAGTATAATAATGTGGATTTGTCAGACAAAGAGGACTTCCTAGTGTCCCAGTCAGTATAAAAATGTTGATTTGCCAGACAAAGAGGACTTCCTAGTGTCCCGTTAAGTATAAAAATGTTTATTTGTCACATGTAGAGGACTTCCTAGTGTCACCGTAAGTATACTAATGTTGATTTGTCAGACAAAGAGGACTTCCTAGTGTCCCAGTAAGGAAAACTTTCATGTTTGATTGGCTCTATATTATTCTGCCACTCATATCCCAAGAATGGGACTTAAGGGGACTGACTGTTCATTCTAGACCTGATAGACGACCAAGGATGTTCCAGACATTGCTAACTGACCAGGTCTGTCAAACATTCTAGACTTTGTATTAGACATTTCTGGCTAATCGGGGCTGTCAGTAACTTTAGACCTGATACAGTCAACCGAGGATGGTTAATGCGCGAGACATCACCAACTGACTGGGACTGTCAAATGCTCAATGAATCACAGCTGACCAGTCGTGTTGAATACTGAACAATTCACAGCTGACCAGTGGTGTTGAAAACTCAACAGTTCACAGCTGACCAGTGGTGTTGAACACTTCGTCATAATTGACCTACCAAAACTCGTTGTTTAGTTTGAGATATTTTGGTTTATTTATAGGTTGACTGGAATGAGATAAATGCTGCCTGGGGACAGACTGTTTTACTTCTTCATTCTTTGGCCAACAAAATGGGGCTGACATTTAAAAGGTGAGTATCTACAGAATGATCCACGGGCCTCTATAGAGCTACACAAGCTTTGTATCGACTGTATCAATCCACAGGCCTCTATAGAGATACACAAGCTTTGTATCGACTGTATCAATCCACAGGCCGCTATAGAGATACACAAGCTTTGTATCGACTGTATCAATCCACAGGTGTCCATAGAGATACACAAGCTTTGTATCGACAGTATCAATCCACAGGCCTCTATAGAGCTACACAAGCTTTGTATCGACTGTATCAATCCACAGGCCTCTATAGAGCTACACAAGATTAGTATCTACTGTTTTAATCCACAGGTGTCCATAGAGCTACACAAGATTATTATCTACTGTATCAATCCACAGGTGTCGATAGAGCTACACAAGATTAATATCTACTGTATCAATCCACAGGTGTCCATAGAGCTACACAAGATAGTTATCTACTGTATCAATACACAGGTGTCCATAGAGCTACACAAGATTATTATCTACTGTATCAATCCACAGTTGTTCATAGAGCTACACAAGATTATTATCTACTGTATCAATCCACAGGTGTCCATAGAGCTACACAAGATTATTATCTACTGTATCAATCCACAGACATCCATAGAGCTACACAATATTATTATCTACTGTATCAATCCACAGGTGTCCATAGAGCTACACAAGATTGTGATCTACTGTATCAATCTACAGGTGTCCATAGAGCTACACAAGATAGTTATCTACTGTATCAATCCACAGGTGTCCATAGAGCTACACAAGATTATTATCTACTGTATCAATCCACAGGTGTCCATAGAGCTACACAAGAATATTATCCACTGTATCAATCCACAGGTGTCCATAGAGCTACACAAGATTATTATCTACTGTATCAATCCACAGGTGTCCATAGAGCTACACAAAATTAGTATCTACTGTATCAAGCCACAGGTGTCCATAGAGCTACACAAGATTATTATCTACTGTTTCAATCCACAGGCATCCATAGGGCTACACAAGATTATTATCTACTGTATCAATACACAGGCATACATATAGCTACACAAGATTATTATCTACTGTATCAATCTACAGGTGTCCATAGAGCTACGCAATTTTATTATCTACTGTATCACAAATAAAAACTCTTTATATATTCCAGTTACTGATTATTGATATAAAGTTCTATAATCAAGCATGAAATAACAAAACACGTATCCTACCTGAGACTATAAATTATTACAAAGCATCAAATACAATTTTTTATATTAATTATAAATCACATCATTGATCAAATGAGGTATCACAAAGGATGAATATCGAAATCTGTTATTTACACTACTAGGTAGATTTATAATTCATATATGTAATCATAGATTTTGTATTGATTGCTTTACAATAGATTGAGATCTGAGTGTTTTGTGATACAAGTACATGTACATGTTATAGGTCTGTCATGTAATTTGTGTCTAAATGGAAACTTTACTTGGTTTACTTACGACAACTTCTTATATTGTTTGTTAATCGTAAGACATGTCAATTAATGTGTAGATTTTGTTGTATTTCCTATGCTTATGACTGATACCTGTATCGTACATGTATATAGATTAATATGTGTCTATTTGTAGATTTCGCTTGGTTCCCTATGGTAATCACTCATATGTGGAGTCACTCACTGATAAATCTAAAGAATTACCTTTATACGGCTCGGGAGGATTTCGTTTTTTCTGGGACACAAAGTAAGCCCTAAGTATCTCTTTAAACCATTCTGATCAACTTCATGTAAACTTGCAAACTTTCAATTTGAAATTTTCTAAGTAGCATCTTGGATGTCAAAATATTAAAAATCATGTTTCATGCGGAACTATCTTATTGTATTGACTTGATTTGAATACGTCAAAAAGTTTTCCAATAATCATACTACATGACTTGTACTAACAACATCACAGCGGTATAATCAATATATGTCGATAAAACTGTTTAAAATTCTCCTGAAAAGAAAATGAAAACTTTATTATACCATTTTATCCCTCGGTTTTCAGGTTTGACCAAGCAATGGTGGCGTTTTTAGATTGTCTTCAGCAGGCAAGTAACTTTGTTTTACAAGAGCTTCATCTTAATAACTTCAAGACCTGGGGTTCTTATATTTATCTGGGAGGAAATGCTGTAAAGTTTCCTAAAATAAATGAAGTGTACCTACTTCCATCGTCACCAGGGTCAGAAATGTTAAAAACTTATCACTTCTTCATCTACAGACATGATCGCACCGACATCACATTTGTAAAAGAAAAAAAGTAATGTGCTAGAAGGCGTGATACTATTAAAATTTGCCACACAGCTATATCACTGGAGAGTTACAGTCTGATAAATCACAAATGACTTTGATAGGTTATATAGTGGTGCTGTGGTTGCCAAGTGGTTAAGGCGTCTGACATTCTGCTACCACTAGCCCTCCACCATGCACTGGGTCACAGGTTCGAGACCTACGTGGGGCAGTCACCAGTTACTGGCCGTAGGTCGGTGAATTTTCTTTGGGAACTCCAGCTTCTCCTCCACCACCAAAACCTGGCACGTCCTTAAATGACTATAGCTATTAATAGGATGTAAAACATAAACAATCAAACAAAAGGTTATATAGTGTCAATACAAAGCTAGTGTAGGTATATATATTTGTCCCATCACCCTAATGACTTCAGTTTTTAACTCATTCACCCCTGAAGACACATTTGAACTCTACCAATTCAAAGGTTGGAATAGTTCATTATAAAATTTTAGGTGTGATTGAGTTATATTTGTTTTATAAAACTCCATACTAAAGTGTTTATGTGTGGTAAGGTCAAGGTCAGTGTCACTTTTCATTAAATCTATTGTTATACCCCCCCGCAAAATACCCCCTGCATCGAAGTAAAGTAATGGACTAATTTCAACGTAACTTTACAGATGTGATACATTGTAACTTAACCACCTGAAGTTATGCATCCAGGTATTTATTTTTTTATTCTGACCCTTTTTTACGAAATTATGGCTCTTTGTTGAACAAATCCTGAAATTTTTTGTTCGGACATCTCCTTCTATAGTTATGGATCGATTTTAACGAAAAATTCCAGATATGATAACTACTATCTGAAGTTGTGCATCCAGGTATTCTTTCTTCGTTCTTACCCTATTTTACAAAGTTGTGGCCCTTTGTTAAAAATACTTGTCCGGACAACTCCACCAAAACTAAAAACCTACTGGGACAATTTAAATAGAAGATAACAGATATGATAACTACCACCTGATGATGTGCATCCAGGTACATGTATTATTTTTTCAATCTGACCGTTTTTTACAGAGTAATGGACCTTTGTTAACAAAATATATGTCCACACAACTGCTCCAAAACTATGGGACCAATTTCAACGGAAGTTTTCAGACATGATAACTACTCCCTGATGTTGTGCATCCAGGTATTTTTCCAACCCTATTTTTTTATGGAGACAAAAAAAAGATTTGTTGTAAAATCTATGTCCTGACAACTTCACCTACAATGTAATCTACTGGTCAAAGAAAGTTTACAGATATAATAACTGCCCCCTGACGTTGTGCATCCAAGTAGTACTTTTTCATCCTTTTAAAAGGCGTTATATGGCCTTTTCTTGAAAAACCTTTGTCAGACTCCTAAACTACAGGGCCGATTTCAATGAATATTTACAGATATGGTAATTACCCCCTGATGTCGTGCATCAGGGTAGTATTTTTTCATTTCTACCCTTTTTAAGGAACATGACCCTTTGTTTGCATCCAGTGGATAAGTTATCCCAACTCTGGATGGAGTGAGATCAAGTGCAAAAGGTTTATAAGGTTGGAGGTAAAAATATAAGGTCTGTTGGGGTACCTGAAACATTCATACATGTATTGTTTTTTTGGCGCTATAATATTTACATGCAGATTAATGAAACACACAGGTAAAAACATATAAGAGAGTGTAGTGGCCTGAATGATACATGCAGGACTGCTAAGTTTAGGATGCCAGGGGATGCCTATTATTTTGTATGGTATACATACTATTTTTGTCGCTGCCTTATTGCTTTTGGCACTATCATCTGCATCATGATCAATGTACGTATAACACATTTAGACTTGTTAAAAGTTACAACTAGAAGGTGACAGTATTCAGGTCAAAGGTGACAGTATTTAGGTCAAAGGTGACAGTATTCAGGTCAATGGTGACAGTTTTCAGGTCAAAGGTGACAGTATTCAGGTCAATGGTGACAGTATTCAGGTCAAATGTGACAATATTTAGATCAAAGTTGATAGTATTCATGTTAAAGGTGACAGACAGTATTAAGGTCGAAGGGGACTGTTTTCAGGTCAAAGGTGACAGTTAGAAGGTCAAAGGTGAGATTATGTAGGTCAAAGGCGACAGTATTCTGGTCAAAGGCGACGGTATTCTGGTCAAAGGTGACAGGATTTAGGTCAAAGGTGACATTATTCAGGTTGAAGATGACAGTATTAAGGTGAACGGTGACAGTATGCAAGATTTGGTCAAAGTCGCTAATTTTTGTTTCTTACTTATTATCATCAGCAATGCTGTTTCCAAACAAAGTATTCCTCTGCCTGTGCTGATTTAAATCCCATTGTTTGTTACAGTTTAAGGAGGAGGTGGAGAAGGGAGACTCCAGTTTCTGTTTACCGTACAAAATGGAGAAAGGAAAGATAGAAGATAACAGCTCAGGAACATCCTACTCCATCAAGTCAGTATACCATGTCTTATCAAGTATTGACTGTTCTTGAGGTTGATATATGGTTTTATGAACCTGAGAAAGAGATATTAACCGAGTCACTTTTCAGGTTCATAAAACCACATATTCACTGATATTAAAGTCATTAGTTGTTAAATTAGATATGAAATTACCCTTTTCTCATCAAGCAGGATGAAAAGTATGGAAATTGTCAAGAGAAAAGAACTGCATTTGGCAGAAAGCATTGGCAAAACTTTCTATTGAAGTGATGTCATAAAGAGTAACCAATGCATCCTCGATATCCAGGGATTACGCTCACTATCGCTCTCTGCACCCCTGGAATATGTCATAGCAAAATTGAAGGCACATTGGTAGCTATTTTATTGGTGTCAGGTAAAAAAATGTTCTTTGAATATTACAACGGTGCTACGTACGCCCAACTCCAAAGCCAGTAAGTTTTACCATTACACGACCGCAAAATCTTGTGATGTACATCGAGCGATCAAACTACCGTAAATTTGTGCGTAAAGTGCGCCCTTTTTTAGGTAAATATTGTCATGTCAAAAAGAAGGTGCGCACTATACGCAGGAACAAGTCATTCTTGGGTTCTCGAGTTTCAGGTCGCCATATTGGATTACCTCTCTTCAAATAGTTTTGTTTGGAGTCATCAGTCATACATGTATATGATAGATTGAAGTCTTCTCGTCTCTCTCACCAGGTGCTACAAGCTGAGCCTTGACCCCTGGAATATGTCATAGCAAAATTGAAGGCACAGCTTGTAGTAATTCTTCGTGTCAAGTCGTGAAATAGTATCTTTGACCTGTTTTGTCTCTATAGGGGTAAAAGAAAATGAGGAATGTACACTGTCATCCCTAGCTTCCTTAATTTTACATACACTCGGGTGACTAGACAGGTCAGTAAATTGTTCAAAGTTTGTACCAATATCACAGGCTAAAGTGGAGAAGAAAAAAAAAATGAAAATATTACAAATGTTTTCCTGATCAGAGATGATTTCATATTGATTTGTGGTTAATGGAAGGATGTTCATTCGACATGATTGATTTGACTTTATGTTGACAGGATCCAGTTTAACTCTGAGGAGCAGTGGACAAAGGCTCTGAAGTTCATGCTGACCAACCTCAAGTGGGGTCTGGCCTGGGTCACTTCACAGTTTGCTACAAAATAGCTCCCACAAATGTCCATCTCGTGTGTTCAGACTAATCTCATTCTTGTGTCATCAGCCAAGTGTCCTCTGTCGTCCGTGAGATGTCGGCTGCCATGTGTCACACATCGGCCACTACAAAACAGGATTAATCTGACAGAGGTCATGAAAACATTCACCAATTGAGTTGCCAACATTTGAATGCAGTCATTCAGGTTTCTGCTCTAGTCATCATTGATTAACATAAAAGCCTCAACATTTTCTTCAGGTTGATAAGTATGTATTATGAGAAGTTCTTTTTACACAACCAATAAGATTTGCTATGTGACGTTTAGTTGACTTGTACAATATGTACACTTTCACCTTCATCAGAGAAATGACCAGTGAAGCGTATGCACTCAAAGGTGTAAAATGTGTACGAGTTGTTCACAAAATCGATGTCGTTCGGCTACGCTGTGAGCGTATGTACAATAGTTGTTTATATATACCGAAATAACTCGTATACATTTCACACCTTTGTGTGCATACACTTCACTGGTCATTTGTCTGACGAAGGTGACAATGTACATATCGTACTAGTCATCAAAACGTCACATAGAAAATCTTATTGGTTGTGTAAAATGAACCTTTCATAATGAAAGTGTCGACTCTGAAAACAGTAATCCTGAAAAATGAAGTTGAACGTTGGTTCAAAGTTGATGATACTGTGGAGTCATCCTTGAAAAGGACAATTACATGTTATTTATCAGAGTTGTGAAAGTGTACATTCTGTTAAACAAATGAATCGCAGTGATTAAGGATTGTGTTACATGTAACAGGAAAATGACAAGAACCTGTAAACCCGGTTAGCCCGATGTTTATCAGAGTTTTTCATAAAATGTTTTCCATCAAATATACACCAGGAAAGTAAAGCTTTTGCTTCATCCATTATTTTTTTGTGTAATATATCAACCATTATTTAAGCATTTCACCTCCAAACATGATGCAGGTTGTTTTTTTATTGTCATGTGACATGCAAGAGGAAAAGGCCATTATCAGATAAAAATGTGCAATTTGGAAGTGAAAAAACATGTAAATAAAATATTTATTAATTCATTATTGTGTTTGTTCTGCTAATTCATCGACGACGCCTGCCATGTAAGTCTTGGACAAATTCAAGTCATACCACCAGTGGAAGATGCAACAGGGGTAATAAAAACAAGACATCAAGGAATTGTTATGACCTTTATTAAAAACACTGACCATAATATTGCACAGGAATTAGAATTGTTCCCAATGAGTTCATGATGGCTACCATAAAACCTAGGATCAAGACCATGAATATCGAATATCTGTCGAAATATGGAACGCCAAATTAACATATATTCAAATAATTGAAGATAGGTTCAATTCATTTGAAGATCGGTTCAATACAGTTGAAGAAAGGTTTAATTCGTCATATTTGTACCTATCTTTAATTGAATTGTACCTATCTTCAATTGTATTAATCGAACTTTTCTTCAATTGAATTGTACTTATCTTCAATTATTTGAAGATAGGTGCAATTATTTGAATATATGTTAATGTTGCGTTCCATATAACACAATATAATACATCTTATTCTTTGATCTTGGTAAAGCAATATTTATATATCCAAAAGTGCTGTGTTGACCACGATAATGGTTTCTAGGTGGTTTTTTTTTATATAATTATCAACAATAGAAAGAAAAAAAGCTGTCCCGTATGGTCATCAATATTTAACCTCATACCTCCTTGTTTTGGGATTTCGTTTTTAGTACGCAATGAGCGCTATAGTTTCCATTGACATTAAAGTAACACATGAAATCGTGATAACTTGTTACCCTTGTTTTCCAACAAGATGATATAGAAAATATACTGAAACAGTGATATACAATGAAGTGGTATATTAAGAATACAATAAGTTCATTTCCCGTTTTAAAATAAAATACATAAAACTCCTCACCGACCGTACCTGAGTACTAACGGCTTTAACAGACTCCGTATTATGCCAGATCTTACTCCGTAATGGCCGGATCCTCTTATGAGATCACACAGCCATCGTAAAAGTAAAATTTGATGGCTTTCCTTAATTCTACTTTAAGCCGGCAGATAAAACATTTAAATAACAAGGGATCGATCATTGTACAGAATAGTGATTTTGCTTGAAATATCAATACTTGAAAACCAAAATATAACCCCCACCGGTCCCCTAATATCGAAGTATCATTTTAACATTATTTGCAGAAACACTTTTGAATATGGCTTCATAAACGACAGCAGTGACAAAAAAATCATATCTAATTAGGGGTTAACTATGTATGGGTAAGTTCCATTTGGTCTCTTGGTGTGCATGTTTACTCATGATCGGAAAACAAAATGAGCGACCGACTCTCCGACGGCCTACTTGGATTTTGAAAATGAAGGATGGTTATCGCTATTTCTCAGAGAGTGATGTAGGTATCTTTCTCAATACTTAATACAAGTTCCCGTTGATCTTTAGTTGTACATGTTAACTTTTGAGACTGATTTAAAATTCTAAATAGCCGACAGGTGGCCATCTTGGATTTTGACAACTCGTCATCGCTATTTCTCAGAGTACTCAGAGGGATCATTCTTTATGTTACGATTTACCTTGTCAAAATACCCCTGGTCCTAATGCGTTTTTTTCCCTCATTGACAGCACCTCTAATAATGTAAGAATTGCAAATTTTGAGCATTTTGCGCATAGTTATGAAATTCTTATACAAAAATATTTGCCATAGTGTAAAGAACATGACATTATGAGGGTGAAGTCAATGTACAAGATCTTCGTTTAGGATTTCCATGAAGTGAATGGATGATAGCACATGTAAGGAAATTGAAGAGCAAAGAAGGTAAAAGATAATCTTTTGTAGATCTAATACAGATCCTTTCATGGTGTGCGCCAAAATTCTTCTAGGATCTCTTGTTGATAAATGCAATTTGAGTATTAAGTCAGTTTGTTTTCTTGGAAACAACAGTAACATAAATTGATTTGGGCACTGTAATAGATATGTATCGGGTGGGAAAATAGCCCAGTGAAAGCTATATTAATTTAAGAAGGGACTCTACGGTAGAAAACAAACTGTAAAACCTTCATAGAATTGACTGAGTGTTGAATTTATTCAAAGTTCAGTTGGTTTTAATACTTTAATAAAGTATCGGGGAAGCACAATCCTCGAAATTCCAAGGGTTACTTATGTATTTCTGCTTTTTCTGGTCAAGAATCACTCATCTGACGCCTGGATGAACTCCCACAACTCTAGTCTCGTTCAACCAGACGCTTGACCACTTTGTAATTCAACGTAGCTTGCGCAGACAACAAGAGTTTGGTTGAAGGAGACTACCACAACTTATATAGGTTTCCTCATTCCCGACTTGTTGGAGAAAACCTGTTAGGAGTTGGTCAATATTTTCGGTTACCCAGTACGTAGTGAGCAATCGTTGATTTATGACCTTACGTAACATTGCGACGTCATCATCAATTAATTGTTACGTCATGATTCATGTTAGAAGTGTAGAATTACTAAATCAGAAACAATTATTGCTTGCACGTCTGGCAAGACATACGACCAAAGTCTCTGCAGGGCTTTGTTCTCGATGCTTCCTGCTCAATCGGATATTCTAACTCGAGAAGCCTATTGGCAACAGACTCCAGTGTTCGCTCCCCCATTCGTCGCCATTTGTCAGCCATTGTTGAACTGTTGGTAAACAAGGGTTCCGAATGGCGTTGTTGGTGGTAGATGGTGTAAAAAATAAAAGTGGGTTTTGGGGTGTGATACGGCGAGGGCTGATAATGGTTAGAGCAATTGTGTCGTATCGCATATAAAAAAACCACGTAATTATTAGTAAGTATGTAATAAATATCATAATACTTAATTAAGATATCTTATTATTTTTACATGAGATATCTCATATAGTATATAATATATAAGATATCGTATATACTATATGATATATCTCATATCAGCATAGCATAAATAACTGTTTTTTATGTCGTTAATATGCATATAATTTAACCTGGGTAGATAATTGTGTCTTTACTTGAAATATACATATCAACATTATTAACGGGAAAATAACTTCGTCCGTATTGAACGGGGTAGATAATATATATAACAGTAGCAAATGTATTTAAAATTGTACATTGTATTTGTTCAAGTTTCAATGACTTTTTCTTGATTTTGTTTCAAATTCTAACGTTTTATTTTCTTTCTGTTAAAAAGATTGTTTGTCTACTGTTTTCATGTAACCTTACACCTTAGCAGTACTTATTACTGAGTACATATAGCAAAGCCAAGGCTGAAAAGAGTACGAAAGAAATATAATAGAAATACAGTCGCCAAAAGCAGTGGACACGATACGGTTTCAGTTTGCGCACATAAACTAGACAAATCAATTTTCTCTCCTCAATGTTTAACTAAAACATTTATAAACTACAGTATATTGACCGTACGCCTGACCTTGGCACGCGATCTGGTTTCCTATCAAAAGAGTAAAATAACATAATCTTAAAACCGATAATTTTGTTGTACAGCGTTTAGGCTATGTAGGAAACTTGGGCATATTTTAGTAACGTTTATATTCATTGATGAATTATTTAGTAAACATTACCGCGATAATTCCGTCAATAGTACCCAAACAAGTGTAAGCATAAGGTAAATTAATATCAATACACACACAAGGACAGGTGATTACGGGTATTGAATGAAAGCAGCCATATCGGAAGGAAATCTTGTTTAAATTTATCGACACCAAACACTAAGTCTTGTTGGCTTCACAGAATAAATATGTATAGTGGTCAATTGGACAAAAATATCGTTTTATTTGTTAGAGTACAGTATGCATCAGAAAATGAATTCAACTGGACATAAGAAAGTTCAATTACAAAGTGTATTTAGATTGAATCGGAATGGCAACGTTTTATAATAGAAATATAATGCTTTGAATGAAAGGAGCAAGTGATTATTTGTTTTGCAGTATATAAAGGTTTGACCTTATATAACTATTGAATATCTAATCATGGCAACGTTAGAACCGTGCCCTTCATTTCAATGAGGCCAAGCGTAGATCAACGCGAGCGTTTTATTGCGATGATTGTTGACAATTTTATTTTCTGGACAGAAACAATTGTACGTGTTTCCTCAACGTATTCATGAAACAACTTTGCGGCAAGCCTTGGATTTTTTACAGGAAGAAACTGCAGGTTGGTTATTAAAAAAAATATTGATAAATATTAAGATGAGTTATTAGACAATTGATTAACCTCTTCAAAATGATGTCAGTTTATCGTATGAATTGTGGAGATTTTCACTATGATTTCTTCATCGTATTTTCTTGTGTTAGAAATTAAATAATGAAAACAAAAATACACTTCAAATTTTGCAATAGAGATGCTGCATTAATCGTTAGCGTAACTTCCACATACGTATTGCAGAAACCTTCTTCCCAATGTTTTAGTCTATGGACTTTTGATTTGTTTTTGTGTACTCAGAATGTTGGCACTTATTATATCTAATAATGCCTGCATGGGTCAAAGAAGTAATATAGACGGTAAAATCCCATGTAACACTGGATCCTAATGGAGGTATGTCCGTAATAGTGCCTGCATATATACTGGTACATGTATCTATCTACACGGATATATATATATACTGGTACATGTATCTATCTACACGAATATATATATACTGGTACATGTATCTATCTACACGGATATATATATATACTGGTACATGTGTCTATCTACACGGATATATATATACTGGTACATGTATCTATCTACACGGATATATATATATACTGGTACATGTATCTATCTACACGGATATATATATACTGGTACATGTATCTATCTACACGGATATATATATATACTGGTACATGTATCTATCTACACGGATATATATATACTGGTACATGTATCTATCTACACGGATATATATATATACTGGTACATGTATCTATCTACACGGATATATATATATACTGGTACATGTATCTATCTACACGGATATATATATATACTGGTACATGTATCTATCTACACGGATATATATATATACTGGTACATG